CTTCCAATGTTGCATCCATATGTTGAAACATCTCAACTGATATTCAGAACACACTCTGTGTTTCTCAAGCTGATTGAGCGAAAGCAACAATTCAGCCCTCAAGTTGAAATACTGAAGCATTCTGTAGGCAAGATAGTGCATGATGTAGAAAGCATCAAAAGAAAATGTAAGGAATACACAGAATCACTGTACCAAAAAAGAGGCAATTAATATTCACCCATTTCAAGAGTTAGCATATGATCAAGAACCAATGGTACTGAAGGGAGATGTGTAAACTGTACTGAAGGCATTGCCAATAAAACAAAGCTCCACGAATTGACTGAATATCAGTTGAGATGTTTTAACAGATGGATGCAACATTGGAACCTCTCACTCATCTATGCCAAGAAATTTTTAAGATAGCTAACTGGCCAAGCAACTGGAAGAGGTCCATATTCATGCCCATTTTAAACAACTGAACTGGAAATTACTGAACAATATCAATGTCACAAGGAAGTAAAATTTTGCTGAAGATAATTCAGAAATGGTTGCAGCAGTACATTGACATGGAACTGCCAGAAGTTCAAACTGGATGTCTTTGCCAATGTCAGCTGGATCTTGGTTGAAAGCAAAGAGTGCCAGAAAGAAATTTACCTGTGTTTGTTGACTACACGAAGTTATCATTAATATCACAGGCAAGTAAAATTTTGCTAAAGATAATTAAAAAATGGTTGCAGCAGTATTGACCTGGGAACTTCCAGAAATTCATGCTGGATTCAGAAGAGGACATGGAACAAGGGATATCATTGTTAATGTCAGATGGTTCTTGGCTGAAAGCAAAGAATACCAGAAAGATGTTTACCTTTATGTTATTGACTATTCAAAGGCATTTGACTGTGTGGATCATAACAAATTAATGATAACATTGCAAAGAATGGGAATTTCAGAACACTTAATTGTGCTCACGAGGAACCTGTACATAGACTAAAAGGCTGTCACTTGAACAGAACAAGAGCATACCACATGGCTTAAAGTCAGGAATGGTGTGTGTCAGAGTCGTATCCTTTCACCATACTTATTCATTTTTTATCCAGAGCACATAATCCAAGAAGCTGGACTGTATGAAGAAGAACAGAACATCAGGATTGGAGGAAGAATTATTAACTTGTGATATGCAGATGACACAACCTTGCTTGATGAAAGTGAAGATGACTTGAAGCATTTACTGATGAAGATCAAAGACTACAGCCTTCAGTATGGATTACACCTTAACATAAAGATCCTCACAACTGGACCAATAAGCAACATGTCACAATAAACGGAGAAACAATTGAAGTTGTCAGGGATTTAATTTTACTTGGGTTCACAATTAACATCCACGGAAGCAGCAATCAAGAAATCAGATGTTGTATTGCACTGGGCATATCTGCTGCAAAAGACCTGTTTAAAGTGTTAAGAAGCAAAGATGTCACTTGGAAGACAAAGGTGCATCTAACCCAAGCCATGATATTTTCAGTTGCCTCTTATGCCTGTGAAAGCTGCACGGTGAATAAAGAAGACTGAAGAAGAGTTGATGCCTTTGAATTATGATATTGGAGAAGAATACTGAAAATACCATGGACTGCCAGAAGAGCAAAGAAATCTGTCCTGGAAGAAGTGCAACTGACATGCTTCTGGAAGCAAGTAAGCAACATCTCATGTATTTTGATCATGTGGTCAGAAGGGACCATTCTCTAGAGAAGAACATCATTCTTGGTAAAGTAGAGGTTCATCACAAAAGGGGATTGACACAAACTTGCTTGCTGAAAGTGAGGAAGACGTGAAGAACTTACTGATGAAGATCAGACTACAGGCTTCAGTATGGATTATACCTCAACATAAAACAAAAGTCTTCACAACTGGGCCAATAAGCAACATCATAATAAATGGGAAAAAAAATTGATATTGTTAAGGATTTCATTTTGCTAGCATCCACAATAAATGCTAATGGAACCAGTAGTCAAGATTCAAACATTGTATTGCATTGGGTAAATGTGTCAAAGGCCTCTTTAAATTGTAAAAAAGCAAACAAGTCACTTTGAGGGCTCAAGTGCACTTGACCCAAGCCATGATGTTTTCAGTCGCTTCATAGGCATGGGAAAGGTGGACAATGAATAAGGAAAACTGATGAATTGATACCTTTGAATTGTGGTGTTGGGGAAAAATATTGAATATCCCAAGAACTGCCAGCAGAGCAAACAAGTATGTCTTGGAGAAGTGCAGCTAGAAAGTTCCTTAGAAGGGAGGATGGCTGGACTTATTCTCATGTACTTTTTACATGTTATCAGGAAGGACCAATCCCTGCAGGTAGATATCATGCTTGGTATAGTAGAGAGAGGATCAGTGTAAAAGAGGGAGACCTTCAGTGAGATGGATGGACACACTGGCTGCAACAGTGGGCTGCAACATAGCAAAGATGAGCAGGGCACAGGAGTGGGCAGCATCTCATTCATAGGGTTGCTATGGCTCTGAGCGGACTCAAAGGCACCCAGCACCACCACCGCCACATTTGATCACAGATGCTCCCAGTAGGATGTGTCCAGGATCTGTCCCACATCTACCTGTCATATTTCCCCATTTCCCCAGTTTTTAATTAAAGCATCAGTATCTATGCAGTTTCCCATGTAGCAACCTGTAAGTAAAACTCCCTTTCACACTCTGCCCAAAAAATTAGTAGCAGATTCAGTTGCTGCCCATCTTTGTTTTTGTTATTTTTTAGAAGGGATTCGTTCCCTATTCTGTATTCTTATTATTCTGTTGTCTTAATGTACTTGGTGGTCTCTCTCTTTGGTTTCTTCTCTGCCTCTTGCTTAGCCATTCTCCTGTCTCCTTCTAAGGGGTGAGTAGTAGCAAGTCTCATCCTGTAACTTTTCCCCCTTTATAGCCCCCACAATTTATGTTTGTGGCTTGTGAAATGAGGGGCGTGTTATCCTTGGCTTGGGCACAAGCAGTCCATTGGGAAGGAAATCCTAGGATATGTTTCTGTTTAAATTCAACTTGTAAATAATTAAAAGAAACAACAGTGAGCACATGACAGCTTTATTAATTGTACAATCTATTGTTATATATACAAGTGCAGATGTACTCGATCAGTTCTGCAAACCCCATGCTCTTCTCCTCTGTCGCAGGCAACAGCACCCCAAAAACTGCACTGTTAACAGTGCCACTAAAATGGTGCTTCCTCTTCCTACATCTGTCACTTACACTGTTGCTCCCTTTTCATGAGAACACAGTCCCTGTTGGAGATCTAAGCACTTTTGGCTTTAGTGAAGCACACCAGACAATTAGAACCAGTGTTTCTCTGCCTTTGTCACCCAGTGTGCTTTGGATATGTTTCTAACTCGGATCCTCTTACATACTATTACAAGTCATGTTTATATTTATGTCTGCATTCTAGGTCACGTGTCCCTTACAGGAGCAGAATTTCATTCCTCCTGTTGTCCCGGCAATGAGGAAAGTGCTAGATATGAAAGAGAAATTCAATAGTAGTATTTTAGGAAGTTCTACTACGGCTTCTCTTTTTCTCACAGGACAGAGTACAAACCCAGGTATATAGTATTTTTTGGAAGGTCTTACATATTTTCATGTATATACACACAAACACACTGACACAGATGTGGATGAGCTCCCAGACAGTTTGTGATGAGGAAGCTCTGCTGTTACAGGGGTCTGTATCATTTGAGGATGTGGCTGTGGGCTTCACTCAGGAGGAGTGGTGACACCTGAACACTGAGCAAAGAACTCTGTACAAGGATGTGATGCTTGAAAACTACAGCAGCCTGGTGTTGTTAGGTGAGTGAACTTTCCCAGTAACTCCCAGGACAAGCGATTTTATTTTCCCTGGTAAATATATGGACCATTTATAAAGCTTAATACTATTCCAGTTTGAGATCCAGGCCAGAAAGAATGTCTGTGTTCACCCAGCTGAGGACAAGGTTGAATTGACTCTTGTCATTTCTCACAGGTCCAAAAACCTTAAGAAGTTTGGAAAAATATCCTTCATTATTTCCCATTAACAGGACATTGAACCTGAAGTGATCTTCAAATTGGAACAGGGAGAGGAGCCATGTATATTAGAAGGGCTCCCAGGTCAGCAGAGGGCACTGGGCAGGGGAGGTATGGTGGTGAATACTGGCTGTCTGTTGGTGAACTTGGGGACAGTCAGGAAAGGTGCCAGCCTTGGAGAGAGCGCAAGCAGGGATGGTATATCGTTTTTTAGTGCAGCTATAACAGAAATATCATCAGTGCGTGGCTTTTGTTGTTGTTGTTATGTGCTTTCGAGTCAGACTTGACTCATAGCGACCCCTCCTTGGGTTTCCAAGGTGGTACTATTTGGAAGTAGATTGCCCAACCTTCTTTCCAAGGAGTGGCTAGTGGGTTTGAACTGCCAGCCTTCTGGTTAGCAGTCAAATGCCTTGGGCACTATGCTACCAGAGCTCCCAGTGGGTGACTTTAGAGAACGGCAATTCATTTTCTTGCAGTTTAGGCTGGAAGTCCAAGTTCAGAGCATAGATGTAGGAGAAGGGCTGCCTTTGTCCATTTCAGCTCCTTGGAGCTAACAATTCTTAGATCCTTGGCGAGGTTTACATGGTGTGGCATCTGTCTTTCTCCCATTTGTGCTCGCTTGCTTTGGCTTTGCTGCTTCGTATCACTGAGCAGTGATTAGATTTAGGACACATCCTATACTGATAGGGACTCATTAACATCACAAAACCATATTCCAAAGTGAGATTACATCTACAAGCAGATAAATTAGAATTCCAGCACATATTTTGGGATGACACAATTCCATCCATGACTGGTGGCTTCTACCCTGCTGATAGTCTACATCTTATGAGATGTTTAGATTCTTTTGATTTATAGCTAGGTTTAGAGCATGGGTTATAAGACTGCTTAAAAAAAAAAAAAAGGATACTGGTGCTTTCACAAATTGAATTGGTGTTACCAAACAAAATGGAAAAGGTCTGGGAAACAAGTTGACTATGAAGATCATGCTGCAGCTGTTTGAGTGTGAGGCAGGCATTCGTTGTGCTCATCCAACTCCCATTGTCTCCCCTTGCACTTCCCTGACACCCCTGTCTACTAATGTTCTTACCACACTGTGTGCTTTTTATTGTTCTGGATTGGCTCAGTTGTTCTTTGTGTGCTTTCTGTCTCTGAAGCAGTCAGTTTTCTGTAAATGGGATATCTTCAATCTGTTTCTTGAAGCTTCCCCATCTCTGAGTCTTTTTGAAGGCTATAGTTATAACATGTCCAAAAATGTGTGTGTGTGGACATTTACAGATAATCCTGTTTCCGTCTTACAAAACACAGCAAAGGGATCAGAAAAAAACAAAAACAAAAAACCTCTGGGGATGACTTTCATACTAGGATGCTGGAACTGATTCTAAGAAGTCAGCCTCATATACAGCACACTTCACCTAAAGGCCTTCCACAGATTTGCTTAGAGATGGCTCATAAAAGCATTTTTTTCCTTCTCATTTTAGATATCCAGGAAGAGGATAGTGTGATTGAAAGAAGCTGGGAAAGCCAAGGCAAACACTTGTGGCAAATTGTGATCATCAACAAGAAAACATCAGGTAAGGAGGGAGCTGACTTAGGCAAAACATTTAATTTGAGTACAAACCTTTTTCCTTTAAGAGAACTAACTTGTGGAGTGAATTCAAACCGTATTTCCACTTTGGTTGTAAGTAATGGGAATTACTCAGGAATGAAGCCTGACAGATTTGGTGTTTGTAAGGACTTATTCCTCCCTGTTAAGCCTGATCAAAATGTGCTAGAGAGAAGCCTTGTGACTATGATCTTATCAGGAAATCTCTCAGACACAGCGAGTATCTATTCATCAACACAAATTGCAAACTTTGCAGCAGCCTTTTAAACGTAGACAACTGAAGGCCTTCAACAAGGAGGCAGAATTCTTTATGCATAGGAGGGCTCATACAGGTAAGAAATCCTATAGATACAATAAATGTGGGAAAGCCTTTGATACTCAAAGGAACTTATGTAGTTGAGAATCAGTATAAATGTGAGAAAACCTTTTGTGAGCAGCCAACACATTTTTATCCTCATAGAGTTCACTTGGACGAGAAACACCATAAATGTAATCAAAATAAGAATAATTTCAACAAGAAATTATATCTTACTCTGTTTCAGAGTTACTCAGAGAAAATTTTTGGATGTAACATCTGCAGAAAATTTTTTTGTAATAAATCTAACCTCACTGAATATCAGCAAAAACACACAGAGGAGAACCCTGCAAGTTTAGTGTATGTGGAAAAACTTTCTACCAGAAATCAGCCCTCATTGAACATCAGAGAACTCACAGTGAGGCAAAACCTCATGGATGCAGTGAGCGTGGCAAAACCTTCTATAAGAAGTCAGTCCTCATTGCACATCAGAGGACACACACAGGAGAGAAGCCCTATGAATGTGAGGAATGTGGGAAATCCTTCAGCCACTGGCCTGCCCTAGCTGTACATCAGAGAACACACACAAGAGACAAACCTTATAAATGTAGAGTGTGGGAAATCCTTCTGTGTGAAACCAAAACTCACTGTTCAGTTGAGAACTCATACTGGAGAGAAACCATATGAGTGTAATAATGAATGTGAGAAAATTTTCTACCAGAAGTCAAAACTCACTGTACATCAGAGAACTCACACAGGGGAGAAGCCCTATGAGTGTATAGAGTGTGGAAAAATATTGTGCGAGAAGTCAGTCCTCAGTAAACATCAGAGAACTCACACAGGGGAGAAGCCCTATGAATGTGAGGAATGCAGGAAAATATTCTACCAGAAGTCAGCCCTCACTGTGCATAAGAGAACTCACACAGGGGAGAAGCCCTGTGAATATAAGGAATCTGAGAAAACCTTTTGCCAGAAGTCACACCTCAACAAACATCAGAGAACTCACACAGAGGGGAAACCTTGTGTAGCAGAGAGTGGCCATATACTCACAAAAACACACTTTATTTTTCTATTGGGTACACAGCCTGCATTTCTCAGCCTCCCTTTACTGTGGGTTGGACCATATAACTGAGCTCTTGCCAAGAGAACTCACACAGGAGAGAAGCCCTATGAATGTAAGGAATGTGGGAAAACCTTTTGCCAGAAGTCACCCCTCAACAAACATCAGAGAACTCCCACAGAAGGAAACCTTGTGTGGCAGAGAGTGGCTGTGTACTCACCAAAACACACTTTTCTGTTGGGTACACAGTTAGCCTGCATTTCTCAGCCTCTCTTTACTGTGGGTTGAACCATATAACCGAACTGTTGCCAATGATGGGTACAGTGATATGCATACCTTTTACGGCTACCCCACAATAATCTTCTTTGCAGTCCTCCCTGACTTCTTATCCTCTGTGGAATGATGTGGAGACTGTCCCCAGGGTGAACGTAGGAGCCATAGCTTGAAGAAAATAGCCCTCACTTAAGACAGAGTAATTTGGACTAGCAGAGTCGTCTTAGCTCTACCTCCAGAGGCCCCATTTGTACTTAACGTGATTGAAAAATACACTGTTGAGCAATCCCACATTTCAATATTTTGATGTCTTTGAACTACAGCAGAATCAGCCTACTCCTTGTTTGTCAGAAAATTCACACAAGAGAGAAACCTCTTTTGTCATCTTTATACCCAAGTCAGTTGATGAAAAAGTCAAAGAACTCATGGAAACAAAGAATACAACATGAGCAGGAAAGCTTATCATGTAGAGAGATGCCATTGACCTTTAGGTAACTGAGAATGAATTGAAACTGTATAAATGTTTATAACACTGCAAGGTTTTCAACAAAAGTTCCAACTTTATGTTAGAAAAATTGTAATGAACATGAAACTTGATTTAGGTAGCCTGAATGAAAATCTTCAAATAAAAATTAATTGGAACTTTAACAAAATGGTTAACTATAGCCCAGCGGTTCTCTGCTGTGTGGAAATTTGCTATAAACATTCCTGTGAGTATACTTTTTTTATTACTAAGCACAAAAATTCAACTTAGGAAATATATGTGGTTTCCATATTTGTATACTATTTAAGGAACTCTGGTGATGCCATGCCTAAGGCATTTGACTACTAATTTGAAGTTGGCAGTTGAAACCTACCAGCCACTCTGCAGAAGAAAGACAGGGCAATCTACTTCCATAAAGATTTACCACCTCAGAAATCCGACGAGGGTCGCTATGAGTCAGATTCTACTTGATGGGTTTGGGTTTTTAGTTTCTTTTTTCTTTTTGTGGGGGGTATAATTTGTTAACATAAATTTTTTGACCCTCCACTTTACCAAACATGATATCCTTCTCCAGAGAATGGTTCCTTCTGACAACATGACCAAAGTAGGTGAGACGCAGTCTGGGCATTTTGCTTCCAAGGAGCATTCCAGCTGCACTTCTTCCAGGGAAGGTTTGTTAGTCCTTTTAGCAGACCATGGTACTCTTAGCATTCTTCTCCAACACCACAACTCAAAATCATCAACTCTTCTTTGGTCTTCCTTATTCACTGTCCAGCTCTCATATGCATGAGAGGCAATTGAAAATACCATGGCTTGGGTTAGGCACACCTTAGTCTTCAAGGAGACATCTTTGCTCTTTATAACTTGAAAGAGGTCTTTTGCAGCAG